CTTTATTGAGGACAGGTGGATAGGCATTGATTGTACAGAGTAAGTTCAAGGCGACATCACTTTTAAGGGTATTAAATTAGATGATTGATTGACGCGGAAGAGGGGGGGGAGTTCTTGTGCGGCTGAAGGATCTACTGAGTGTCTATTTGTTTGATTATAGGCGCCGGGAACTGATCTGGACCGTCGCCCGCGTGAAAAGCGAGCCGTGCTAAGCCGGTTAGTGTTCCTTTTCCTACTTACCTCGGATCTTTCGGTGGAGTAGTCGGGGATGTTGACGGGCTTCTCCGTCACCTGAGCGGCCATGACATGCACTGTTATCTGTCGGCCACGCAGCCCAGACACGTCCGCGGACCGGGCATCAGCGTCGGGCACTCTTGTAAGTGTCAACAATCCCTGCTAGTGGTCCGCGTCAAAATGGTCCAGTATCAGCAACAGCCTTGGCGGGCCAGCAGGAAGCGCTGCTGCGGGGTTTCAAGTGGTGATGGGGCCCCTGATTGGGCTAATCCTGCAGCTTTAAGTGCTCGTGCTCCAGAAAGGCTGTCTGCAACTTTATTTAGATACGGTGAATGGGGGGGATGATGCTATCTTCTCCCTTCCCCTCCCCTCTTGTCCCCTCCGTTCGGACTGGAGTGCTCCCAACTTGCTTTCCCAGATCTGCCTGTCTGGAATCGCGTCGATTGGAGGGAACCAGTCGTGATGTCACATGGAGGGGAAAGTCTTGCATGAAACCTTCTCTCATCCTTCCCTTCCCGCACCCTCCGGTATCTGCATGTCACCACTGTAACTGTATGTGCGTATGTATGCGCTGGCACACCACCCACACCCACACCCACACGGTCGGAGGGGAAATAATCCTGGTTCGTGATGAGTCCTGCAGATGACCCGGCTGGCATTGTTTATCACTTTCCGTTCTGGCTTCTGCTGTAAACAATAACAATGGTGGTGAACCGTGGAACCCGGAGTCTCCCCTCCCCCGACGACGCGACCGGCAGAGCGTGGTCCCGTGACTTGGCCCCGATGCGACCATCCCCCCCGTACCCAGTAATAACTCCATGACATCACCGAGATTTCTCCCTTCTTTGTCCATCCGTTGCTCGCCTTGCTTGTCCCTTTCTTGTCGCCCTTCCTTGCTCCCCCCTTCCCAACCCTTCTCCATGGCTCCCTATTCTGGTCAATAACAACTGATTCGGGCCAGTCCCAAATTTGTGCCCAAGGCGAGATTCCCCTTTCACCTCTTTGATGCCTTATTTTGTCCATCCCACCTGCGATGGTGCTGGGACCCGTAACTAGTGAGTCTAGATACGATCGGGGCAGCGATCTGCAGAACTATCGCCTAGTGACCCAGATCTTCATCCTCTGGCCATGTGTTCTCGTTCACACTGTAAACAACTGGCCTGTTGTTGCCTCCTAGATCCGATCTCGCAGTATCGTTGAAGGGCATATTCGACGTGCAAATGACTATCTGATTTTCTACCATAGACATGAGCTTAGAAAAGCTTATTCCAAACAGGAGCGCATTAGCCACACTCACTGGCGCTTATCCCCAAGTGCATATCTGGGGATGTTACCGAGGACTGCATGTAGGCGCAAGATATCGTCTACTCACTAATTAGATGGCCTTATCTTAGATCTCCTGAGTTTCACCATGCAAGCATGGCTATCTAGGCATCCGGGGTGAACATCACGACCCCAGTAATATCAAGATAATATCGATCGCATATGCATATACTTGCCCCTTCTTTAGGAGCAGAGCACCCTTGCCAACGGCGACATCTCTTACCCCATACAACCCTGTTGGATTAGTAGTTATCAATCAATAACCCACTCCTACCAATGTATCCTCCAATACTATCCACCACCCCCAGCACCACACAACACAGGGGTGAAAGGTTATCTAGGAGAATAAAGACAAGATATCGGGTCAATAATCCGCACGATAACCCCCTGCAAGTCTATCTAGCATATCCTCACCTTTACCGTTTCGGCACATCCATGATCGCCATTCCTGGGCCCCAGCCACCCACATCCAGACTAATATCTATCTATCCCCTTCCCAGCCCTACTACCATTACTATTCCAACCTTTATCATAAGGTTTTCCCTTTCGTAGCTTAGTCCCAATTTATCTGCACGAAATTCCCCGTTTCTTCGAAGGATATCTCCTGCAGGTACGCCAGGTACCAATTAAACATACATGCACCCATGCGCCACCCCTTGCATCGGTATGTAGCTAATAGCTATATGGGCCATCCACCCCGCATGTATACAGGATAAGCTTCTCCCTCTGGGATTGAGTTTAGTGTTTCTAGGAGGATGGGTGGAATTGGTGCTGCTGTTTTAGTAGTAGTGACTCTAGTTCATGCTGTGGCACACATACCCTGCTATGGTTTAGAAGAGTTTAGTATGAAGTGAAGTCTTTCGCCATGTTTCTAAATAAGCTCTAAGTTAGCGACAGTCGTAGAAATGTTTCTCTATCGGCAATTCCAAGCCTGAGGAATTCTTTATTCGGGATGGGCGTCGTTAGAGTTATTTCTCTGGTATCATTTTAGCAATTGAATAAGTTGTGTGTAACTATGCAATACGCGCATTCTTGGTATCATCTCGAACGTTACAATTATGGTACTTACTTACTACAATCGACAGGTAACGAGATAGATACTACCTACTTAAGATAGTAAATTACTTACCCAGTTAGTTATCTCACAATATCCAACCAAAACCAATACTTCCTATTCCTTTATCAAGGACCATCAATTTATCCAAACATGTGGTCAACCATGCCGATAGTAATAACTACCAAGCCGCAGGAATGCAGTCTATACCCATCTAAGTAGAAAGTCACGCCGTTAGGGCAGATCATTCCACGGCAGTTTACAAAGCTATCATTGGTTTCCGCAGTGTACATAGAATATGTTATAAACCGTTGCGTAGCCCGCACATGCATGCCTTACCATCCTGCTTTTCTACTGAAGCGTCTCCACTTGACTATTTGCTGAAGAATACCAGCCCTGGATGATCAATTTGTTACTACTACTACTGCTGAGGTATGGACTAGTGCTGGGTGGAGGGTGCTAGACTAGTAGCCGTTGGGCTAGGAGGTGTCAGTATGTGGATTAACGGGTTGTGAGTTATCACTTGCTTGTGGGTTGTGGGTTGTGGGTTATAGGGCATGCCGCTACACTTGCCAACTTGCAGGATTCCTAATAGTTATCAGTTTCTAGTAGGTAGATGGGAAGGTAGGTAGGTGGATATCTGTCCATCCCTATCTATCTAGTTACTACGCTGTAAAGCACTGTATGCTACGTCACTTACTCAATTAGGAAGAGGAACTCCATAGTCTACAAATTAAGGACTGTTACGCACAGAACTACCAATAATATTCAATTCCCTCACAGGAGTCTATAGTAGCTACTTACCTGTAATACTCCAAAGTAAAGCAACATTAATATCACCGTTCCTCTCAATAACTGCATGTCACAATCACCCCCAGTAAGGGATAGATACTTTATATCATATATAGAATACTTCTAAGTTGTAAGCACCCGGTGGATAGCATCGATAGCATCGGTACTTGAGCCTATAATCAAGTAAGAGGGAACCAATGCGTCGCTTGTCTATTGGCGGGAATTTACAAGCCGGCCCCAGCAGTCATCCATTGAGAATGCAGGGATTTCTTATCCCCCCGTTCATAATCTATGAAGATCCGCACGTAGCAGGGAAGGGAATGAATGGCGGGTCTTTTGGTGGGTTGGATTTGGGATTTGGGTATTGGGTATGGAGTGTATTCTAAGGGGGGTAAAAGCGTAGATGATTATGGTCTGGGAGTAGGCAATAATGGATGTCGGTGATTGGGATTGGTGTTGGAAATGTTGATACTCGGTTGTTAAATGTTGGAACATATATCTTTGTTTGCTGTCTAGACAGACGCGATAGATCATTTCTGGTCTACTGGTTGGCGCGCAACATTGGATGATGGAAGTAAGTAACAAAGTGAGTGCCTGGTAGATATGTATTTGGCAGTAATGATATTAGAGGGCGTATAGAGAATCTTTCTAAGATGTAGTACTGGTTAGCAAAAACGGACTTCTTTCTCCCTGCTGAGGATGTTCTCGTAGAGGTGGCATGTCGTGATATAGCGTTATAGTGACTATCCAAATAGTAGCATAGACTGCTCATCAAGTACTGACTTGCTGGTCTGTATATATACCATTTGTAGTAGATATGCAGATCATTTATTACTCTGCTCTAATTTACATATTGCTAGTACTATACAAGTGTATATATTACTATCTTGCTCATAATGGAAAAGGGTGCTTACATAGGAAGTCCCAGTAGTGGTACCATTATACATATGGTTCTTGCCCTACTTATACCACCGAATATGACAGGAGCAGTCATTATAGCTTTGTATTATAATGCCTCCTTTTTCAATTCTGTTCACAAATCAAGCAGGAGATAAAGAGGAGTAGAGATATTTCTTATGTTATTTTCTCAATCAGCATGAATACTACTACTATATATACAATCTGAGTTGTCAATTGTGCACAGCCCTATCCATGTAGATCAGACTAATATTCAAGATAATGTTTAGTCTCCTGCTAGCTATAAGAGATAAGACGTAAAAAAAGCCCCATATAGCTAACTCCAAATATACCACACTATTGCTCAGACAAATAGCATAATTAAAAATAAAAGAAACTGACGACCAGAGTCTATTTCTTGACAATGGCGCCACAACAATACCTTCTTTTGTTCTGTCTTGTACCCCACACAATGAAGCAAGGAAAAGGAAAAGACGTAGAAAGAAACAATCATTTCACTTCAATAGTCACTTTCCTCATTCAACTTCCTGACTGCTTCTATGCGGTGGTTACAAATCTTACAACCTTCATGCCCAGAAGCGCCTTTGTCCAGAAAAGCCTCAACCGCTTCGTGACTCCCCTGCTTTGTCGAAATATGAATAGGTGGTATTCCATTATCGTCTAGTATATTCATGTCTGCCCCAGCCTCAGCCAGCAACGTAATACATGACGCAATAGAATGCGTATATCTAGAGCGTGACACACGGTGTAAAGCCGTCTCTCCCGACCGGCTCTTGGCATTAACATCGAAACCGGCGGCTAGAAGCTGCTGAATCATAGAGGTATTTCCAGTTTCCATAGCATAGTGCAGAGCATTATCGCCGGCATTATTACCGGCAAACATGGCATCCTTGCTCATTTTGCTCAACAGCAGCTGCACAGCACGTGGGTGGTTATACTTGACTGCAAGATGTAGATAGCTCTCGCCGTCCTCGTTGAGCTGGTTGATGTTTTTGCTGGATTTGATCATCGTCAATATAAGCTCACGGTCCTGGTAGTCCCTGGATGTTTTCAGGATGTTGTGAATAGGTGTCCGGCCAATGCCGTTTGGTATGTCAACATCTGCCCCTGCCTCGAGCAAAGAGCGAATTATGCCAGAAGCCCTAATCTGATCGTGCGTAATCTGACATGCGAAGTAGAGTGGTGTATGGTTGACTAGTGAGTTCTTTGAGCTGGATACATCGACTTTCACCCTTCCAGATTTGGCCAGCTTTAGAATCCTGGCTGTAGCTTTGAAATAATCAGTATTTGTGTCAAATAATACTGCCAAATCGAATAAATACGTCAGGAGGCATGATTCTAATGCGTCCGATGTCCATAAGGAAGGTGCACGGTCAACAAGTAGCTCAAACACACTCTTAGGGCCCTTCAGTACGCTTTTTCGGATCCTAAACTCATCCGAAGCATTTACACATGCTCCGGAGTCTAGAAGTAGTTTGAGGAGATCCAAATTCACATGATAATGTTCCATGACTTGAAGCAGTGGCGTCATACCATTTCCATTTGCTATGAAGGGGTCACCGCCAGCAGCTTGCATTGCGCTTATTAGCAGCCTTGCCAGTTCTATGTTACCCTGCGAGCAGGCAATGAACAAGGCTGTTTCCCCCCACCCATCCGTTTGGAAAGGGTCAGAGCCGTCAGCGAGCAAAAGCTGCACAAGTGTGATATCTCCTCTTGAGGTGGCTGAATGGAGATATCCCTCAGAGCTAGCGTCAGTCGAGCTGAAATCATAGCCGGAATCCTTGAGAGCATGAAAGATCATTATGGGGATATCTGAGTTTGTGCAATCCTCCATCATCTCGTCACTGAACACTCTCAGAATGGCTTCCTGAGCGTATTGGACTGAGTCAAGCAGGTATCGGACCACGGCCGACTTCTTGCATACTATGGCTATCCCCAGTGGTGTATGGCCGTTCTCGTCCTCGACATTGGCATCTGCTCCGGCTTCAATCAAAGCCTGAACAACACGCAGATGTCCTTCACTGGCAGCCCAATGTAAGGGTGTATTTTCAAGCTTATCTTGCGCGTTGATGTTTGCGCCCCTAGATAACATGAGCTTCACAAGGCACAAATTACCTCCAAATGCAAACCGGTGCAGCAATGTTTGACAACAGTAAGCCCGATAAATATCAGACGGGGACTTTTCAAAGTATTCAATGATATGAGGGGATTCCCAATGCTTAGTGTGCTTCCAAGAGAGCCAACGGCGCATGTCACATCCGCACAGGAGCCATTGAGATAAAAGTTGGGGCATCAAAAGTTGTGAATATCGCTTTGCAGTGCGGGCAAAGGCGGCCAGTGATGGTGGTTCCAGGAAATCGCCTATATAGACGATAAGCTCCGCAGGAATGAAGTCAAGACTAGTAGTTGAACTCATCGTGGATATGCGTTAGGTTCGTTGACAAAATAATATGAGTGTATAGTCTGTGAAGAAGGGAGTGAAGGGTTGAGGCAAGAATTGAACTTGAAATCTTGTAAGTCTATATATCCCTGTAGCATGTTCAAGAGTTATTTGACTTCGTCAAATTTCATCCACTGCAACGGCAAGGACCATGAAAGGACTGATATCAATGACAATACTCTCATATTCCGAGAGAGCGGTCATTCAATGTGAACAAGTTAGGCTCAGGCAATCTATCTTGACGGTTGCATCACAATGAAAAGGCATCTTCAAAGACATCAATGGGCGGAAACGACGGATTTTCGCTTATGAGAATTTCGTATAAAGGTCGAAAAGTCCCTTACCCCTTTATCATTGGCTGATACCATGGATTCACAAGACAGAGCAAGCTCACTCCATCAGAATAACTTTAAAACAAAAACCTAGTCTATGAGGCAGGTTCCTATCTCCTGGCTCCATGAGAAATGGCTGTATCCTTTCTCCGGTGCGTCACCAATCCTTGTGGAACAGGCCATCACTCAGCATTGATGAAAGACACTACAAAGGGAAAAAAGCAATGCAATATTCTGAGCGTCACCATCCTATCCACCCACCGACGAATTTCCGTCGGGCATCTATGCGCGGCAATCGTTTGTTAGCAAGATGCTACTATGGACAGCTGCGCGTACTTATTTTCAACTAAGAGCACATCGGTATAATCCATATAATGTCTTCATTGACAAGCCCACTGCACAACAAGCCTAGAGATTTTTTTTATCTTATTTTTTTTCTTTCAAGAGCCCATATCAGCTCATTGAGAATGCGGAGGAGTTAATCTTATGTTGTCCTGGGGCTATCATCCTCTTCAGGTCGGAGATAGATTTGACAGAAGGCCGCTATCGACTGGTTCAAAAGCTTGGGCATGGAGGACACTCCACTATATGACTGGCCCGTGATCTACAAAATTCCAGATATGTCGCCGTGAAGGTCATCATTGCATTTTCCAGTGGCAACACAGATGAACCTGGTCTGCTTCGCCACCTAAGAGCGTTATCGTAAAAGCTTGGAGGGGATATTGTCCGGCCTCTCCTCGACGAGTTTTGGGTTGCTGGCCCCAATGAAAGGCAAAGATGCCTTGTCACTATCCAGCTCGAATGAGCTCGTTGGACGCGAAGGAGTCTTCAGGGATTGAGCGTTTTCAGCCCAGCTTGCGCAGTCAATAATCGATTAACTCATTCGTGGAATTGCTTTTCTTCATAGTGAAAATATTGCCCATGGCGATATGTAGTTATTACACACTCTTAGCCGTATAGACCGACTAATCATCTTAACAAGATATTCATTTAGGAAACATTCTAGTCGAGTTTCCGAAGGCGATATATACGCTTTCCACGCTAGAATCAAATCGCACTCGAGATATGGAAAGCCAGAGTCGGAGCCCATTATTCGCGATGATGGCAAGGCTCTTTCAAAACGCGTACTTGTTAGGGCTTTCTTTGAGACCTGGTTTGGCGTATAGAATCAAGGACTTCCTCTCAAAGAGACAGAGATCTCTTTGTTCAATTTTGGAATGCCTTAGAACCGATACAGAAAGTCCCGACAATTCTCAGGAATCATATTCTTCCTTCAGCCACCAGAGAATAGGTTTTCCAGCAAGCCATTCTCCTTTCCCTCAAGCATATGGACATCGGTCTGTACCATATGGGAGATCTCCGGCGCGCGGCCTTTGTTCAGAGCCTTCCTTCCAACCTTGACCTGGTTTAATGTGGCCAATGCTAAGATATGAGCCAGGTGAGAGAGCCACGACAGAGCAGTTGATGCAGTCAAAATGGATGAAGCGCCGGGGATTGCCGGTTATGGAAAAGGTCTTGAACATGAAGGCAGATTTGGAAGACAAATATGCAGACCCTTAGACCAATCAAGAAACACTATAAGTTTAAATAGCATCAACGAAGTCCATTTAAATTTCTCTAGGCCAAAGAGCCTTCTTCTTTTGGCGGGGGGGGATTACCCCGACCTTTGAATATCATGGCATGAACAACGGCGGCACCAATGACCCTTCAGTTACTTACCCTGAATCTACCGTAAATGATGTGGCAACACCCTAAGCTTTCTCATGTGTGAGTTACAATTACACTACATAGTAGTTGATAGCGGTTCGATATACCGGGGCCTATGCAGTGCGATAAGATAACAGCGATTCAACAGCACGCAAAGTATTTTCGCATCATACCTCAGATCTTCTTCAGGAAAATTTCACACATAAAGCAGATCAGAATTGTGACCTAACTCATAGCTATATCATTTCCATTCAAACAGGTACATACACAGCAATAGATGGTGTAGTATAGTGAGTTATGAGTATAAGTTGTGTTATGTAAAGAGCCAAGCCGTCCGGGGCGCGCTAACCCGATTAAGCCAATCGCCTCATAAATTTTCGGAAGCGGAATCGCAAGCAACTCCTGCATCCCAGTCGTCGTGGGTCTGTCCAGCGACTGTCTTATGATTGATTCATCATCTGTGAATCATTTCAATACATCTAATTAGTTGCGAGGAAGTTTTCAATTCTTCATTCCCCGCAATGGCGCAAAACAATGCCGCGTCCAAAAAGCGGCGCCGTGAGCCGGTCAACGTCGACACCAAATTGGTCGAGATCTATGAGGACCTCGCTAATGAGAAGGACGAGATCAGATTGAAGGCTGCCCAAGCCCTGGTATCTCAGTTCACTTCCGACAAGAACCCCGCCGATGAGCAGATCAAAAAAACCTTGCAGAGACTCTTCCGTGGTCTCTGCAGTAGTCGCAAAGCCGCCAGAATTGGCTTCTCTATTGCATTGACTGAGGTTCTGTCTCAGGTCTTTGGAGCTCCCCGCGAGTCGTCCGAACTGAATATCTCGACTGTCATGAACATCTGGGAGTCGCAGTCTAATGCTTCTGGTGGTGAGTCTGGTCAGGTAAATACATCCTTATCTAGGTCACACCTTATTCTACAATGCAATGCTTACTTTACTCTACAGGAACAAAGAGACCACTATTTTGGTCGTCTGTTTGGTGCTGAGGCTATCATAAAGTCCTCCATTCTGTTCAAGCCCAACGCTCCATTCAACGAGTGGACTAAGCTTCTGGACCTAGTGTTTGAACTGGCCAAGAAGAAGCCCTGGATCCGGGAGGAGTGCGGCTGGATCATCTATCGCTGCATCTACGAACTTGCGGCCCAGAAGGCTGATGCTAAGTTCCTGGAATCCGCACTTGAGCGTCTGTGCTTGAACGATCTAGCGCGCACCCCAGAGGGAGTGGCCATCTGGCTCGCAGCCAAGGACTTGTTCCCGGAAGTAAAGTTCCCCAGTAAGGTCTGGAAGCACGATGATCCTCTGGACGCAAAGGAGAGGAACCAGCTGGCCAAAGTCATGAAGGAATCTTCCTCTGCTGATTCCGAAAGTGAAGGCGGAAACAAGGCAAAGTCGTCTGGAGTCTGGAACTCAAAGCTTCACTTTGCCTGGGACACTGTCATCAGCAGACTTGCCGATGCTCCGACAAAGGAGAGCAAGTCGAAGGGTTCTTCATCCCGTATCAGCTTCGCTGACTTCTGGACGGAAGTTGTCGACAGTGAGTTTCTCCCTCAGTTGTGGTGGCATCTATCTAACATAATTGTCCAGACGGCCTCTTCGCCTCTTCATCCTCAGAGGAACGTAAATACTGGGGCTTCCTTCTGTTCAACAAGGTCATCAACGAATCTCCCCTGAGCTTGGCTTCCCTGGTGTTTACCAAGAACCTTGTCAGGTGTCTGATGAACCAGCTTGCTGTCGAAGACAGATACCTACACCGCATGGCCGTGAAGGTCGCAAAGGCCGTCCAGACACGTGTGTCCAAGGAGCCTGAGTTTGCCGCCGCTTCTGTGCGTGGTCTCATGGGCTCAACCGGGACTGTGAACTTCGACCAGGCAACCAAGACGAAGACCGTGGAGAAGATTGTCGCTGAAGCCAACTTGGCCGCTCTGAAGCAGATCGTTCCGCTCTTCGAATCACTCATTGCATCCCCGGGAACGACTGACAGCAAGGCTGCTGCGTCGAGCCGTCAGTTCTTGGCCGGTCTCCTCTTGTCCATTGTTCGTGCCAGGGCTTCGGCCAGTGACGACGAGGATGGCATGCAGAAGATCCTTGAGAAGATCCTCTTTGCCTTTGTTCGGTTCGCCTACTTCAAGCCCGCAGAAGAAGGCCGGGACCAGTCCGTCACTCCCTCTGTGACGGAGCAGACACAGGAGCTCTTCCGGAGCCGCATCAACTCGTGTATCAACAGTCTCATCGCTACGGAAAAGTACGCGGGCGTTCCGTACGTCGTTGTTCGCCACATCCGTGACGCAGTCAAGTCTGAAGAGCACGGAAAGTTCATCATCAACATGGACGACACTATCCAGGACGCCGTGAAGAACGCCTTCAAGTCGCTGAAGAAGCTCGCCAACATGGTAAGTCTATCGTCGACATAGCCACCGTTCATTACTAACCCATAATAGGAGAAGGGTGAAAAGGCCAGCATCGATGCCTTCAAGCTCCTGTACTCCTTGACGATTCTGCAAGTGTACAACGGTGACGCCGATGCCGCCTCCATGCTGGAGGAACTCGACTTCTGCTACACCAAGATCTTCGGCGACAAGAAGTCCAAGAAGGAGGAAACCTCTGACGCCTCGGACGCTCTGGTGGAAATCCTGCTGAGTTTCGCATCCAAGCAGTCCCAGCTTTTCCGCCGCATGAGTGAGCAAGTCTTTGGTGCTTTCGCCGACAGCATTACAGAGAACGGCCTGGAGTCGTTGACCTCGGTATGTCCATCTCCCCACTTCCTCACAATCCCCACTAACATCCCATCTCAGATCCTGGAAGCGAAAGAAAGTCTTGCCGGACAGCAAGAAATGTTCGACCAGCAAGACGACGAAGGCGACGAGGACATGATGGACGTTGACGGAGAAGACGACAGCGACGTCGAAGTCATCGACGGCGACGCCGGCTCCGACTCCGACAACGACGAAAGTGACGACGAAGACGACGACGACAACGAATCCAGCGGCAACGACCTAGAAGAAGCGATCTTCGAAGCCAAGCTCGCCGAAGCGCTCGGCACTCACCGCGCAGACAAAGACCTCAACGAAGACGACTCCGAAGGCTCCGACGCAGACATGAACGACGACGAGATGGAAGAAATCGACACCCAACTCGTGAAAGTCTTCAAAGCGCGACGCGACGCCCTCGGCCAGAAGAAAGACAAAAAGGACGCCAAAGAAAACATGATCAACTTCAAGAACCGCGTTCTTGATTTGCTCGAAATCTACGTCAAGAAATGCTCCTCCAAGATCCTGGCACTTGATCTCCTTCTGCCGCTGTTGCGCCTTACCCGCCGCTCCACTGTCAAGCAGATCTCGAATAAGGCTGCTAATGTGCTCCGCGAGTACACTAAGCACTGCAAGGGCGCGGCGCTGCCGAAGCTGGATGATGAGATCGAGCCCGTCTGGGAGCTGTTGAAGTCGATTCACACCGAGGCGACGCATAGTGGGCCGCCGGCGCATGCATCGGCGTGCAGTCAGGCTAGTTTGTTGGTGGTGAAGACGCTGGTGGCGCATGATAGGGAGACGATTGCTGGGGTGGTGGATGTTTATGGTGAGACGAGAAAGGCGCAGCTCATTAGCAAGAAGTGTCATGTGCAGCCGTCGTTCTTTACGGATTGGAATAACTGGTGTGTGTCGAGTAGTAAGCAGATGAAGAATTAGCTGCTACGGAGGACTTACTGTATAGATGTCTAGTTAGGAGTCAACTCATATGGATTGATTGGGACCAGTCCCAATAGCATTGATTGTAATATATACACAATCTCCCTCCTAGTAGACTAAGTTATAGACATCATAGTAACATGATTACCACTACCCACTGACCGAATTCTTTAAAAACCCTTGATATACCGATGTCCATCGGTAACCTCCACAACCTCAAAGCCCATACCCACCTCAACCCTCCCCTCCTGCCTGGGGGCACTCAACATCCCAAAACAAGGCTTGAACTTAATCCCCTCATCCACACGGCGATACTTCATAAGCGTATCCCACGGCTGCCGACGATGCTTCTCCGCCGTATCAGGATCAACATTCGGAACCTGACATCTCGCGCACCTAGCCACGACATCCAACTCCACTGCCCCATCTCCCTTCTTCCCATCCTTACCATTCCCTACAATCCTGACAACCTTCCACGAATCCTCCTCCCACGGCACATCCCCCGTAACCACAATATTCGGCCTAAACCTCTCAATCGTAATCGCCTCATTCCCACCTTTCACCAACCTCGCATTCAACTCCTCAATCGACGCCGCCGAAGCAATCAACACCGGATGCACATCCGGGAAATACGTATCCTGCTCTCTACCCAGAATCTCCGGTGCGCCGTTCCCGCGCAGAATGCGGCGCTCTGGGCCCTTATATACTAGTTTCACCTCTCGGCCGAGAAATTCGCTGAACAGGGTGTTGACGTCAGGTCCGTACGCATACGCATCCGTTACTGTGTCCCAGATCGTGACGTGTTCGAGGGTAGTATGTTGCGCGAGCCAATCGGGGGTAGGGTTTGTCGGGAGGGAGATTTCCTTGTCCTTGGAGAAAGAGGGGATGGAGATGATCAGGTGGGAGGAGTCCGCGGAAAGGGCTGTTGTGATGAGCGTCATGCGCGAGTCTTGTCGGATGGTGAGGAATTGGTTGGTTTTGGCGTCGATGAACATCCAGCGGCGGTCGAGAGAGAGGCCGTGCTTGTGTAGG